ATGACGTTATTTCATTTCATTCAAACCCTGTAAAACACTTTTATTTATTTGTGTCCCTATTTTATTCTACATAAAATGAGCGTCCGTTCTATGTACCATTCACTACCATACCCTTTTTTGTTCCGAGAATATTGCAATTTAAACATAATATTTTACATCTTATTTTCTACTCTAATTCCCAGTTTCCGGCATAATTGTATTTTTCCAAATTATCGTACGTTGTGATCAGGATATTCACTTATTTATTCATGTACATTTTTACACTAATCCGAATTCAAAAAATTCAGTGTTCCAACTGTCTTGTCTTCTCTCACTTGCGTGCTTACCAACTAATCAGGATCAGAATAGTTCTCTCTACCCCATCTCGAACTCACGGGTACTAGACTCAAGGTTAAGCCGCTCAGCCTATCGCGTCAAGGTCATAATCTAGACTAGATGGATCAGGGTCAAGTCATGACAAAGTATCGACGGTGTAAAAGCAATTCAAGGTCATAACATCTAGACTAATGAAACAGTTGCACAGTTCTGCATGCACACTACTGAGGATTCCCATACTAATACGAAACGACAACCCACTGATCGCAGGTTTTCAGTGGTGGTCGATTCATGATTTCAACGAATTCCAATGAAAAATTGAACGTTGTAATTATAGCTGATTAACAACTTAAAAAAAATAAGAATTAGTAACAAATGACTACTAGATACTGAAAGTAGAAAGAGTTTACCTGGTTTCGTAAAAACACGCGAAATCAGTAGCATAAAGTGAGACCCATGGAAGCGTATCTCTGAGTATGACTCAATTTGTCTCTCAAAAGCATTAATGGTTTACTTTTAAGAAAGATCATAAATACTGTTCACATCACAATTTTTTTAAACTGTTAAGTGCAGTAAAGCGAACTGTCTTAAAGCGAGTGAAAACTAAGAAGACACACACCAAAGTTGATATAGTAATTGATCGACTCATTTTTAAGTTCTGCATACTAAACCAATACGCCTAATCTGTCACTCTTTCATAGTACTAGTCGCCTTTGTCCTTCTTACTCTCATTGATCAAAAATTATTTTTCCTTTCTAACATTTCATAATTATTAGTTATTTCATATCACAATATTTACTTATTTGTTTTTCGTCTTGTTCACCTTATAATTACCAGGTAGACAATATTATCTTATGCAACAAAAGTCTTAATCTTGTCATTTTTCACTAACCATCTCAATATGTACAAAAAACGATTATTTCATAAGTTCAGTTATTCACAGTCCGTTTACCCTAAAATTAACTTTTCCTAATAACTATGAATTTGGACCTAGTAGAAATAGGTGTTTTACTGAAAATATTTTCGTTATAACGACTGTCTACTTTGACCATTTGTCAGTAGCTACGAAAATTATTGGCAATTTTCTCAAGATATTGACGGAAATGTGAAATCAAGCTGATTGGATACGCAGAAACACTAAAACGAAATCAAAATTGAAACTCAGGAAATAAGAATTCTACGTAACCAATAGTTGGGTTTAGGAATCCTAGGGATTTTGAATGAATTTTATAAATCAGCATTTAGGGTATTTAGAAACGAATTTTTAATAGATAGATGGGGACTGTTGAGTTGAATATACCAGGTCAAAACATTAGATTGATTAACGGAAGCGCCACCAAACAGTCCACCAAAATAATAAGGATTACCATTCGGAGTATTTCTCTTTAAATGATCAACCACTTTGAGTGTGTAATTTAAACAAAGAAAGGTAGGAACCAATTAATAATTAAACAATTCTGTTGAAAATTATCTTTATGCAATGATGAATAATACTGTCATTATTTTAAATAATAATTAATTATTCAGAAAATGAATATCAACAACTTAGGAAAAATTGTTTTCATCGATTGTTTTCTCTTGACGATCACAACTTTTACTATGAATCTAACTTATCCTTTTTTTATATTTTTAATACTGTTGGGTCGGCTTCCGGAGAACTTCAACGGAGCCTCCAGAGGCCCAAAAGGAGCCTAAGAGTCCAAGCCAATCAGAGTATGATGGAACGTTCTAGAATTCCAACGTGGCGTGCTACTATTGGTTGGTAGCATAATATGTCGTTATCGGATTGGCTGTAAAATGATGTTGATTTAACAGACGCCAACATCTATAAATACCCATGATTTTCTGTACAAGAATGAACCTTGGGATAAAGTACTTTCTCTCATACTTGTGTCTTCTCTCTGGTGTTCAAGTCGCTGTGCAGTTCTAGACTGCGGGTTACCGAAACAGCTTAGGAACAAGTATAGCGTTCAATTGACAAGACTTATCAAATATCTCCAGTATTGTTGTAAGTTATTCACTCGTCGTTAGTTGTAACATCTTTATTTCATACTAAAAACTAATTCGATATCTATTGCTTTATGATACATCAAAAAACAGGATAAGTAAACATGCGATCAGAATATATGAAATATAAATGAAAAACTACGCATAATAACAATTGATATTTATCAGTTTGTAGTGAAAACCACCTGAATAAACAATCCCCACAGAGCCAGATTAATAAAGAAGTCATCGTGTGATCACTAGTGACTAGTTTCAGAAATAATTTCTCCGATTTACAGCAAAAAGTAATTATCTCTCGAGTATACTAAGTTGGCGTTGATCGACGGGCACAGAGGTGCTTGTGAAAAACGAAAGTTCCAATCAATGTTTATCCAGGTTTTTCAGTGTAAAATGGTTTCTATGATAAAAATTACGTCGTAAACATACAAATATCCCCATTCATCAAAACGTCTCAACATCCCAACAGAGTATTAATTATCTAGACAAGTAAGATCAGTATAGGACACTACAGACGAACAGCTTGCTTGATATTAGTTTTAACTAGATGCGTAGAACAAAAAAATAAGCCTACAAATTGACAATATTGTGCTTGAAGATTACTTAAGATATTAATGAACAAGTATTAAAAAATATAATAATATGACGTAACAAATCATTCATAACTGAAAAAGTACAGGCTAACACTAATCTTCACAGATTTACACTGTAGATATTAAGATGTTAACAATAGTGCTACCCAAAAGCTAAACAGTTGGGTCCAACTTCGTAATCGTAAAACATAGTTTATTTATTTATTTAAACACATAAACACTGGTACAAGCGGGCACTAAATATATATGCACCACACAATAACAATGACGCCAGTAGCAGTTATCATTGATTTGTGTGAGGGCTGTGGTACTGCCCGAACTCCCAGACATAAGCAGGTAGTTTTATTAGGGGACCACACCCGGTGTCTATGACCTAAAGGTTTGATCCACAAGGCAGTGGAGCAACGTCAGGAGATGCAGTCCCATGATAATCGGTGACCAACAATTAGTTAATACGCCATTTGTTCCTTCAGGATCCTGGAGCACATGTGCAGCATTGGTTTGGAATCGGGATCTTACAACTCTCCTAGTTGGACCCTCTACATTCACCGACCCGGTTAAAGCGCCAGACATTCGCTTTCCGTTCTCTCGATTTCGTAAACAACAGTAACGCCGTGAGAAGGCAGTTTATAGGACTTCCCAGGCAGTGGTTGTATGCACGTGTTCATGTTAGAGCATTTCGAGAGGGAGCGCTGACTCTCCCCACTCTGACGTACCGGGGCATTTTGGCGCGAAAAGTATACAGAAACATAAGTTAAAATCCATGACTGTTGAGAAATCGAATAATTTATTAATTATTCGGTATCAGTAAGAAATTTTCAGCAAATAATTCAGCTATACAAATGAGTTATGTTTAAAATCTAAGGCATTAAATGACGGTTTTGTGACAGAACATCCAGAGACATATCATGTACTCATTATATAACTTCTGATTGACTAGTACAAATTTCACAAGTTGAAATCATGAGCCAATTGAAGCTAGACCACCATGGCTCATGATTTCAACTTGTGAAATTTCTAAAAAAATCTCCACAAAACCCATTCTGATAATAGTACAAATTTATATATTATGGAGACAATGAATAATATAATACACATAGTTGATATTATGAAGAATAACATTAAAATTAATAGTGATGACAAAACAACAAAAAATTAAATCTACTAGTAAAACAATGTCTGCCAGTGTTACATACAAGCACATACAGTTATATTAGAAACACGGGGATATAAACACACGAAGACAAACAAATGAATAGTATATAAGACGAACAAAACAATATTCTCAAATAATCCACAAATTGAATCTTGTCAAGGGGTGAATTAATAATCATTCACATATTACCATATTGGAAAGAATTAAACAACTGTATGTTCTGAGGAAGAAGTTTAAATGCGTGCAGTAACAAGTTTTTTTTATTTAAAACATGACAAAAAAATGCCTAAAAATAACTTTCATTGTAGGTAATGGCCAAATAAGATTAGATGAATACGAAAAATATTCTGTTCTATTTACTGGTATATATTAATTTATGTACAGTAAGATTTCCTTCCTAATAACAATCTTTCGATTAATCTATAGTATGAAATACATGAGCAGTGCTCGTTTAGACTAGACAATAATAAATAATAGAGTATAAGTTATTTTCTCTAATTTAGCGATTGGAAATAAAATAAACAACATTAGGGAGATAAATAGAAAAAGATAATAGTCAAACGACATAGTGTATATCAAGTGATTTGCGAAAGTAATGATTGCAAAAAAAAATGAAAACAGAAAAATCTATAATGCTTGGGTCATCATCTATCATGTAATCAAAAATGAAGCGACAATATGATAAAATAAATATATAGAGAATGAAATAGGAATAACAACAAGATCATTTGATATGAACATAAAGTAAAAGCACAAGTATAAACAACACGCACGCACATAGATGGATATACATGATAATACAAACACATGGAAACAATATCCAACACTAAAGAGAACATAAAAAAAAGAAAACCGCAAGAAACGAAAACAAAACAGATTATCTGGCTTCTTTAATATCAAAGCAATTAGTGTAAGTAAATCATTTAATTGGATTATGGTCTCGGTGGTGGTGGTATTGGTGGAGCTGGTACTGTTGATTGAATATTAGTTAAATCAGTATTACCATTAAATGTATTACCTTGATAAGAATCGATTGTTTCATCATCGAAATCATTGAGGTTACGCTAAAATAGTACAATAATAACAGTAATGTTATATGTTAAAACTTTATCAATAGTTTAAATAAAATCAATTAACTGTTTTCAATTTTTTCATTGTATTATTCACTTGATTGATTAGATCAAAACATCGAGCATTGCTTCGTAAGATGTAGCAGCGTAATTCTTGTGTGTCATGTTATGACTTCTGCCACCCCCCACGTGGCATAATCGCCCATCAGATTAAACTTGGCGTTGTAACATTTGTTGGCCTGGGCATGTTTTTGGTAGCATTGATATTGTCTGGATCTGACCGAAGACCATCTTTACCAAATATATATCCACGGTACCTAGCAGACTCGAACAAGAATTCACAATTTCCTTTTTGTAACTGAAACGTAGCTTGCGGTATTTTAGTAAGCACAATGTCCAACAGACTCATTAGTTTCGGAGTAATAGAATCAACAACTATAATGTCATCCAAATAAACTGCTACATATTTTAGATTAAATATCATGCTATCCACTATTTGCTGGAAAATTGCTGGTGCTGCTTTACCCCGAACAGTAATAGAGTTCACGGTGGGTATTAATGGTTAGAAACTCCTTTGAATCTGCGTCAACTTTCACTAGTAAGTGGGCTTCAGATAAATCAAGTTTAGAAAAATAATGTCCACCGCTTAATTTAACAAATAAATCATCTGGCAAAGGTTATGGGTATGAATGATTTCAGTCAGTCAGTAACAATGTAGAACTTCGTACGTACGTACATCATTTCGAGTTGCCACACCACATTAGCACAGAGATGCAGTGGTGGATTCAGATCCCGTAGTGATAGATGTAGTAAAATTATAAGCTGTAATCAGAAAAATTAGGGTTTGAAGATGTTATTCAAGGAGTATAATCCAGTGAAATAAATTTGGAAACAGAAAAAAGAAGGGGACATGAAGAATTCAGAAGATTAGAATTTGGGAGAACATAAAGAATGGATGCACCTGCGCCATTGAAAACGATTTTGAGCCATGTCATTCAGGGTCTCTAACCATCGGTTGCTATCATCTCGCGGTCCCCAACCAATGAATGATTTGATAGAGCATCGTTTAATCCTGTTGAAAAATCTGCACAACGACAAGCAGTTCTGTTCGCTTTCTGAACTACTATAATTGGTGCTGCCCGTGTCGAGTAATTAATAGGTTGTATGACACACACACACGCCGATCGGCTGATTTCTATCCAATCAGCGCTAGTCGATGCTTGGAGAACACTCTAGAATCTTCTCGTGTAAAAACTACAAATATACTAACGTTTTTCTTATTGTACTTCTTACTTCCATCTAACCTTGTTGCTTAAATATAATCTCTTTCGTGTTCAATCGTGTTCTGATTTAGTGACTTGTTGAGTGAATTGGTGTCCGAGAATACTATGTATGCAATAGGATAGCTGGGATATAACCGTAAGAGAGAATAATAACAACTAAGTATCACAATACGAACATTTAGTTGAATGTTTGGAAATATTCGAGTAATATCGTAGGAGACCCAAAACATTCCTCGAAAAAAGACCAAAGGGAGCCCTGAAAACGCTGGAAAACATTTGATCCTGTCAGCATTGAGTAGAAGTTTCTCGGATACATCTAGAAAGCGAAGAGTCATGTGCCACACTTCTGACTGGATGATTATTGTGACGACGGACCACGAGTGAACTCGAGGAAGCTGTAAGAGGCTCAGAAGGAGCCGAAGATATTCCATCCAGTCACCTTTTGGAAGAATATTCTAGAATTCCTACGTATAGCTTCCCGATTGGACAATGCTACTAACCCCCTGTATGCGGATTGGAGGACTGAAATGGTGATTTCGTTCTTACTAAAAACTATAAATACCTGACAATTTTGTACTATAATTGACACTGTTTGGGAATAATATTCCTTTCATTAGTCTTCTGTCTTCTCATTGCGACTTGGAAGGGTTCTGGCGTTCTAGTACTCACGTTATACGCAGTATATCAAGAACAACCTTCTAGATATAACAATTACCCATCCTACTACTATGTTTAGAAGGGTTCCAGAAGCCCAAGGCCATCCGAAATGCTGTAAATACCCTGGATTTTCTGTACATAAACTGACGTTAGAGTAAAGCACTCTTTCTACATTTAGCACCGTTTCTCTTATGTTCAAGTCGCCGTGACTTATCAGATATTGACTACTCTTGCTACTATTTTGCCTTCAACATATCTTAACAGCATGAACAGAATGGTTAAATGGCACTGTACTTTTGATTTCCAGCATAGCTGTATCCTGGTTTAAGTTTGCTAATCGCTGACACTCTACAGTGTCGGTTTGCAGCGTCATTTCATCATCATTTTGCATACAGGATAACAACCGCATGAGAAAGTGAGCATCGATAGTAGAGGTTATACTGAAGATGAGTAATAAGAATTCAAACTGGTCACCGGATAATACATTTAATTTAATTCGTTCTGCTTGTAACTTTACTCTACCGTGTCAATTACAAACAATTATACCGGCTAGGAAATAATGATATATGTTCACAAAACATTTAAAATGTCAACACTAATCGAAATTGACTTCTCGTGGATGTTCAGGCAGGTTATGATTTCTATACCTTTGATGCTCATTGGGACCAAGTTTCAGTAACAACAACTGGACTTTGAGTCGTCCGTAACAGAAAATTCTACTCGCAAAATATCTTCTATCCAGTCGAACCATCCTTCAAAAGTACGACCACCATCTGCATTAAAAATAAATCCTGGGACAGGACTGAGATATTATTCTAAACTTTTATGTTTCTGGAATATCTGGTTGAACAGTCTTACTAAAACTGTTGAGAAGCAAACATATGCTGCTGTAATAGTGACTGCAATTATTCGGAATAGAGTGCCAATCGTTTTTCTTTTCACAGCTACTATTATTTTCTCTTCTTTGCTTTTTAACCCCAAAAGTCCTTGTCTGCAATTGTTATGACTTCTGCTTCTATCAAATGTCACGTGACAAAATCGATAGTCAGGACACCGACTCCTATGACCTTGTTTCTGTGCTAAAGCAATAACACTTAGTATAGTGTTTACAAATATTATTCCACTAATCTAAAGTAAGAAAAATACCCTATTATATTGCTATCTCAATTGTAGGCAGTGCCCAGATCAACGTGGATTTTAAAAGATGCTCATTTATTTAGCGTTACAGGAACGATTCCAGAATTATCAGTTTAAAAAGTAAAAAGCGTTGATACCATTACAGCCATAGAACACCTTTATAAACAGAGGAAATCAGTTAACATAGTCGTCAGATATGCATTACAGAGAACAAACAAAACACACCAAACCTCCTTTTTTATCACTAAATGTGTTTTAGTGGCTCGTTACCGACTTTGAAGTGATGAACTCCACCTAGGTAATATGATAAAAACCCACTTCTTTTCAGTTTACCAATTTGAAATAAATGAGTCCTTTTTCTTCCGAACATTGTTGACATTACTAGGAATATTTAATGGATTAGCTATATCCTTTTTCTCTTGCATTTTTACAAGGATGTCATCTTGTAAAGAGACGAATACTGATAACAGACAATCAGAGTTTTAGTACAAACACCAATACCAACCTAGATACAAGTATGTGTCTAGAGTTCTATTTAGTCCTGAACACATGAATCACGCTACGTTATCAACATACAATTCAATATGCGGTTATTTTATGAAGACTAAAATCGAACCCCGGAAGAACTTACTTGTTGAGTGTATTTTTGATAATTCGGATGAAAATTATGAATCGCATCATTAAACATATCTTTAGGATTGAATGTATCCCGCAGACTACGTAGAGAATCAGAAGACGGTAGAAATCCACCTGCAAATGGTAAGAATTTGACCAGAAAATCATTAGAAATAACGATGATGGTTACTGACGACAGAAAAATTTAAAATAAAACTTTTGATTTGTGACGATTCCAGCAACAACAGCTGAATAAAGCCGTTGTAATAAATATTTAATCGGATTTTGTTGAGAATCAGCTAGCATGTACTTTTATAATGAAATTTGGATCAGCTAATCAGGTCTAGGGTCTGGGATGGGTGCTATTGGGGACTTGGAAAGTAAAGTGGAATAGCTAATCAATGCCGCCTAGTTTTAAATAGTTCATCAGCTGATATTAGCTGGTAAAGATTTTGACACTTTTTGAAAGGTCATTACATAACGAAATGACGTCTTGAACCCAAACTTGAGAAAATTCGTTGTTGACAACTGTCGAGAAGTCTCTAACCAGAACGAAACACTTTCCAGTTACGTCCTCCTTATCAGTATAAATCCAAATGACACTAATTCATACTAAAACTTTCCTACAACAGAAATAAACACAAATAGGTCAGTCACTCAACGATAATATTGGGTATTGTACAAGTATTCACCAGTTTACGTTCTCGCACTTCACGTTGGCTCAATGATGGGACGAACAATGAAAACGAAAAGCAAAAGAGTTAAAAAATAACAATAACAATGGGGAAATGAGCTTGTGAAATAACATCCAAAAGGACAGACACTTGATCAACCCAAGTTTTAGACAAAATCACGTTAAAATGAGTTGATCGATACATTTCCAGCCAACTAAGCTGAGAAGACTCTCGAACATTCCTATGTAAAGTCTATACATACACTGGCATTTTGTAAATGGGTCATTCTGATTTTACGCTCTGTTCAAGTTGTGTTTGTTGAGACGGCTTCCGAGAACTATGAAGGAGCCTTCATAGGCCCTAGAGGAGCCACAGAGTGTCCATCCAATCGGAAAATGATGGAGCTTTCTGGAATATCGACGTGGCACGCTATTATTGGATAGCAATATAATATACCTCTTTGCGGATTGGTTGAATTATAATGTTGATATAACAAACGCTAATATCTATAAATATCCGTGATTTACTGTACATTTTGATTCTTATCCAACAAGCACTTTTTCAGTCTTCTGATTTACGACTGTGGGGTTTCTATACGTTCGAGTGCTGTAAAGGTATACCGTATCCTGCGTTATTCAAGTAGTGTATTAATTTGAGAATCAGCTAAGTAAGGCGTCCGAGAATACTAGATTGGAGTACGAAACTTAACAGTATAGAATATAGGAAAGAAAAGTATGGAACAATATACTGAGTACTCACTATTTGAAGTACACCAACACTACTGAGATGCAAATGTTCTTTAGTCGAACCATAAATACATTGTATGTTGAGGTCTCATAAACTAGCGTGACAATATTTAAATTTCAGATCACCAACCACCGACTACTATTTAAAAAAATATTCAATTAATGAATAACTGTCTCGTTCTAGTGTGGGACTCTACAGCAGGGTGCAACGGTAGCCACACCTGAGACCGGGCTTGCAGCCTTCAGTTCATGCTCCGAGAACAACATCATTAAACCACTAAATCGAGACTCGACAGTCCACATTTTAAAATTCAACGAGCTGTGATACATTTCAATACACTATCTGTTGGCAACTACCTCACTCTCGATTAGGCTAACTCCGCAAGTCATGGATTTTTTATATATTAATAGTTTTAATAGCTTGATAATTTTAAAGAACAATCATTCGACCTACAACTACAATAACCTAAAGACTTCACTACACAATTAACTTACGCTTCTTGGATTCAAGAGAAACTTCACCACCAACTCCACGAAGACTATCATAGCCACTATTTGCTGGTCCAGTTTCGACTCCATCAGTATATAGTTGTGAGGGAAAAGCGAAGCGTAAAGCAAATGAGGCGATTAACATTTCTAAGCATATCAAGAAATTCTGTATGCCTGCTGCAACTGTACCGGCGTTCGTACTCGGCAAAGCGGGCAGAACTTCAGTTTTTTCTAGAATAGCTAGTATAATACCTTAGATCAAAGTGAATAATGATAAATAAGCAGTAAATTGTATACGTGAATTTGAAGAGAAATATATAAAAATAGAGGTTTATGGTAATATGAATGTAAAAACTCAATGTGCATGAAGATGACAAAAAACGTAAAACTCATTCAATTCTGAGGAAAAACCATACATGGATTAAAATGTAGTTGTACGGATTTGGAAAGTATTTGATGATATAACATCTCGTTGATGGTGAACTCGCTGTTCTCCGAATTCCCCCCTTCAAAGGGAAACTGGTCAAAACTCTACCAAAATAGGCTGCTGTTAAATGTATCCGGCCAAACTATATTGAGTATCTTGCGAACACAATTGTTTAGAAATACGTATACTTTTTTGATGTTGGTTTTTGTAGTCCCCAAAGTTTCATTTTCGTACAGTAGAACTGTCTTGGCGTTCGTATTGAAGATTCTCACTTTGGTGTTGGTTGATAGTTGTTTCGAGTTCCGTATGTTCTTCAACTGTAGTAATACGGCCCTTACTTTGCCAATCCTCACTATTACGTCTGAATCAGATCCTCCTTGTTCATCGATAATGCTGTCCAGGTACGTGAGTCTCCACCTCGTCCAGAGTTCCTTCATCAAGTGTGTTGGTGTTCTCCGTGTTGTATTTGAGGATCTTTGTTTTTCTCTTGTGTATGTTAAGGCCCACTGAACAGGCTGTTGCTACACTGGTTGTATTGATCTGCATTTGTTGGTGTGTATGTGATAGAAAAACCAGGTGATCTGCAAAGTCCAAATTGTCTGGTTGCATGCAAGCTGTCCATTGTATTCCGTGCTTCCTCTCGGATGTGGGGGTTTTCACTATCCAGTGAACCATCAAAACAAAGAGAAAGATAGTAGAGTAAGCAGTCTTGATTCCGATCCTCGTGGTTCTTAGGACAGAATCAGAGCAACTCCCTAAGTAAGTGAAGTATTTTCCATTTCGTGACAGGAGTACAGCAGCATTTCCCTCTATCTAGCCTTTGCTATCCAGCTTGGGTCCAATGGGTTTTGCTGAATCCGAGCATTTTAAAGTTGCATCTCTTCATTTCGGTAGCTATTTGACTGGTCCTCCCCGTCTCTCACATTGTCCGGACGTTCCATGGATGTACAGAAATTGTTGCTCTGGTTGTTAGAAGAGGCATCGTCTTTGTGACTTCCGAAGAATCTCGGCTTTCATTAAGAGGCGTCATAATTCTTCTTTCAACTACCAAAACAGAATTTAAATGGTTTAATTTGTTTAATCTGGTTGGCGTTTTTAGCAAGACTTTTTTCTACGATATGAAGTTGCTGACCCCATGCCAAACACTCCTACATTTTGTGGGCTTGGGACTGGTAGTAACTGTAGAAAAGCTACATACGGAGTTGTTTACCAGATAACAATGGAAAATTTCGGTAAATAGCTACCAAACTCATTAAGGAAATAAAAATCACAAAACGAGATCAGTAGTGAATGAAATTCAAGGGATCCATTCTTCATCGATTTTATGTTAAACCACAGTCCCACAAACCAAACACTCCTTGAGGATTAATAGTGTAAACACCAGGGACTTCAACTTACAACTTGTCTAAAGAACTCAATATCATATTGAAGAATCTGACTAACCCAAGTGACTAATCTATTCATTCGCTAATACAATTCTTTGGCAAGATCAAAGGCTTACAAAAGTAAACAATAATGGAAAAAGTTATCTTTTGATATAGTTTCAATCACCTTAATCAAAACAAATTTCTTCCATATTATCTTTTCAGAAGGAACGAACAACTCTCGAACACGCAAAAACCCTAATGGCCATGTTTCAAAGAGCTCACAGATTTGTGCCGTACAACATAGTTTCAGTTTAATAACCAAATATAAGCGAGCAAAACAAAATTCACTGAGATTATCCATGTCATGACTTATGCAGAAATAATAATGCAAGTCCTTGAAGCTACAGTTCAACCAAAAATCAAACTGAATATATGGATACGCTTATTTTTATCCCCTCTCATATTTCATTTCTTCTTTATATTGAATTATTCCCATAAATATGTACACACATAAATCTTATTTTGCAATTTTTGACAATTAATATACTTAATATGTTTATTTTTATGAATGTTGACCTGCTTCCAACGTTAAATTATTTGTTGAAAATATTATTGTTCTTAACACTACTGGTACATCAGTTTTTATTTCACCATTAATGGTTAATTACCACTGGTAAACTATGTAGTCTATTCCATAATCATCAGTGACTAAAAAATGCAAATCATTGATTGAAAGATTTTTACATGAGCAATATAAATATTGCTCAAATATATAGGCTCATGAAGATTTATTTGAAAAAAATGTTGTTCGTCCGTATGTGTTTTCCTTCGCTTGTAAAATCTGATGTATTCAATGTCATCGATCATAATATTTTCATCTTCGAGATAATAATAATGTATTATAATGATCATTTTTGCTATTATTAGGTATCCGAATTTTCAGATCGATTTTTGGTTGAACTGAAGCTTCAAGGAATTGCATTATTATTTCTGCATAAGTTATGATATGGGTAATCTCACTAAACTTTATTTCGCTCGCTTACATTTGGTTATTAAACTGAAACAATGTTGTACGGCACAAATCTGTAAGCTCTTTGGAACTTGACGATTAGACAATATTTCACAATAATGACACATTCATATCCATACTGTAATATAATTCAGGTTCAACATCATAAAAATGACTGAATGATTGCTTTAGTATAAACTTGTTTTGTAAATCTATTTGTGTTTTCAATAATTTCGATTCTTTATAATTTCCCTGAAGAAGCTCAGACAAGGCAGCTTAGTGTGCCATGTTGCAGTTGTCTTAATTTCAACCACAGAGTATCTTAAAAACAAATTAAATCAAAATCAGATTAGAAATATGAAGAATCATTCAAGTGATTATTCGGTGATGTAAACGAATCTATACATAAAATAAAATAAGAGAACCGTAAAACAACTTACAATATACAACGTAAACTAAATTCAGCGCTGACAACAAGGAGGAAACATAAATTAGCAATATTATGGAGACAAAAGAATAATTTCTCAACAAACCTTGCCAAAAGCATAAGAATACAACGGATTTAACTACAGCAAATTTGATCGCAGGATCAAATGGTTGTAGGATGCTTCGAGTAGCCAAGTAGAATAAAAGTAAAGCATACAGTGCCACAAATGCAGATCCATTATATACTACTGTCACATATAAGTAGCCATTTGTAGAGCTAAAGAAGAAATTGGCAAATATTATTCTTAAAAACTTGAACTATTGCAATATGGTGTGATAATCATAATAGCTTATTGTAATAATTATTTTGATATTTCAAACATTGAGATAAACAGTGAAAGTCTAGTGTTATCAAGGATGATTTAAATGAGTTTGTACACATAAACTACATTTTACATAATATATATACATATCAAAGCACTTCTTTTGACATCAAATTCATCCACAAAAAAGTAAGCGACATCTTAGATTTATTATCCCAAATACTTTAAGAGTAAGTGAAACTTCACCACGTTAACGATCCAGAAATCAACCACCAGGATACATTCAGAAGTAAATGGAATTCTAATGGTCATCACTGAAATCTCATATTAGCTTTTCTTCTTCACATGATGCCTTAATATTGACAAAACCGTATTTATTAAAGTAACCAAAAGGTTTGTGTTTGTAAAATTGTTCAAACTTAAAACAGATTCTTTAATCTCTGAAAAGGTTCTAAAAACTAAAAGGTGGAACTTAATTTTTTCTCATTACGAATGAATAAGACCATCTCGATAATTGAAGCTCCTACTACAGATGCACTTTGTGTCTCCCTGACGTAGAGCTCAACTCATATGCCATACACGCTTCATCAACTAGACAATATAAAAATAATTTAAGGTTTATTCTTTGGATGTCTGGTTATCTAGATCTCCATACCAATATTAATTAATGTACAATTGAAAATCAAAAGACTACTAGACATTTCTGCAAGACCCTGAAAGAAATTGAAATTTCCGTTACATACAAGCGAGATGTAAAGAATTAGTTTTACTTACATTTGTTTAAACTATGATTACCCAGATATAGAAATGTGGTTATTTTAGCTAAAGAATTTAATATACAAGGGATTTAAGTAAATCACCAAAGAACTTTACTAACATTTACAAACATGAAACCAGTCAGTCAGTAACAACGTAGAACTTAGTACGTAGGTATATCAGTTCGAGTTGCCACACCACATTAGCACAGAGATGCCGTGGTCGATTCAAATCCCGTAGTGGTAAAGGTAATAAGAGTATAAGCAGTAATCGGAAAGATTAGTGTTTGGAGATGTTACTTAAAGAGTATAATACAGTGAAATAAATTTGGGAAGAAAAAAAAGAGACAAGGAGGAATCAGGAGATCAAAATTTCGGAGAACATAAAGAGTGGATGCACCTGCGCCATTGAAAACGATTTTCAGCCATGTCATTCAAGGTCTCTAACCATCGGTTGCTATCATCTCGCGGTCCCCAACCAGGTAGTCTACACCTACCGACATGACTCAATCCACTTGTCAGTGACTTCATGGACTTGTGCCATGTTTTGGTCTGGCCACGCCTAGCATTCTGCCAACCTACTCCTATACCACTGAACATTGCACGTCGAGGCAGTCGGTGGTTGGGCATACGTAACACGTGTCCCAGCCATTTCAACTGATGAAGTTTCACTATTTCATCAATTAGTTTGCCATCCTTATCTAGTACCCGTTTCCTAAAAACTGCGTTACTTACTCGATGGTCCCAGGATATACGAGCAATATTTCGAAGACACCGATGATCAAATACTAGTAGTCTACGAATATCCTCTACTCTTATCGGCCATGTTTCACTGCCATAAAGGAGGACGGAACGAACTGCTGCGCAGTAAACACGCCTACGCCACAAATGACGCAAGTTAGCAAAAGCTAGTTGATCCCTCTGCATCCGTGCTGAGATTTCGTCACACACCAGACCATAAGGGCTGATGAGACTTCCAAGATAAGTGAAACGATCGAAACGCTCAACTACTCCGCTCGCTATCATTTCTTCAGGTGTCGATGCAACGCAATCCTGAAGCAACATTTTGCATTTCGAGGGAGAGAATCGCATCTCGAACATGCTTGCATTGTTCCTTAGAGTGGTCAAAAGACTCTGCATTTTGTCATCGTTTTCACCAAACAGAACTATGCCATCAGCATATTCTAAGTCAACAAGTGAACCTCCCGGTAGAAGTTCAACCCCTGGAAATTTAGATGAGGAAACTATTATCTATAATGGCACGTCAACGATAAAGTTAAACAAGAATGTATAAGAGTGGAAAGCCCTGACAAACACTACTTGAGATAATCAATTATGATGACAGTTCGCCATAAGCTCTCACTCGATCAGTTGTGTTCGAGTAGAGAGCCTTTACAAGGTTAATGTACTCCTTTCAGTGAAAAACACTGCCATAAAACCTCACGATCAACAGAGTAGCATGCTATCTGAAGGTCGAGAAATACTACTATTGTGGGACGTCTGAGTGTGTGTCTATGTTCTAGGACCTGACGTAGTGTGAATATCTGGTCTATACAACCACGTCCAGGTCGAAAACTAGCCTGAGTTTTTCTAGTCTGTTCTTCATGAGCTTTGGTTAGGCGTCGAGAAGCATTACTGAAGCTAATATTTTAGACACTATATTAGTCAAACTGATTCCTCTGTGATTGTCACAAGAGGACTTTTGTCCTTTCTTATAAACTGGCACAATCAGTGATTGAGACCAGTCAGATGTGATTACGTCCAGTTCCCAAATTCTACCTAAGACCTCGGTTAATCTCATTGCTAATACTGGACCACCATCCTTAAAAATCTCAAGAGTAAACCTGTCAGAGCCTGCTGCTCTCCCTCGCTTCAGATTTCCTATAGCTTTTTCAACTTCGTAAAGAGACGGAGGACCTAAATTAACTTGCCATTCAGGTTGACTGGAGATCATGGGAAATCGAAGTGTGGCTGAAGGCCAATTGAACTGATTCCTGAAGTGTTCTGCCCATCGATCCAATCTCCTGGATTGAGAGTGTATAATATGTCCATCTTTCTCTGAGAGTGTTTCGCTAACAGTCGGTTTCCTTAACAAGTCTGAACAATTGTCTGCTATTACCTACTGCAGCTGCCTTTACCATCTCTCTTGCTTTCGCTACCCACCACTGTTCACGATCGTTGCGTAGACTTCTTGTCAGCTTGCGCTTAAGCTGACTCCGCTCTTCACTATGTTCAGAGCCAGGTGGAATGAGTTTCCGAGTATCTATCAGTGCGATAGATGCTGCTGAGATCCAATGTCGTTCCCTAAGCTTACGGGTTACCGTACTAGCAGATATCACTGCTGTTTCCACAGCTTTACGGATATCATTCCGTGCTGCCTCGGGGTCGGCATGACATACATGGCTGCCTAACTGTTTTCCTAGTTGTTACTGAAATATACTCTTAGCTTAACTATCGTTAAGTATGGCCCTAAGAGGTTTACTTGCAGCGTCTTTCCTACGTCCAGTAAGACGCAGATAGATGCGCACTCGTACTAGAGCATGATCTGAATCTAAGCATGTGCTCCAGAATGAGCGACAGTCTTCTATCGAGCCCCTCCATCGGTGGCTGATAGCGATGTGATCTATTTGGGTCCAACGCTGGGACGAATTAGGGAGTCTCCATGATAAAAGATGCTTAACGTTATTATTTGCAACGAACAGGCGGTCGCCATTATCTGTTCTTTGAGTCATGATGCTATAAGATCCACCTAGTTGTCTTTCCCTATCGCTTAGTTTACCTTCTTGAGCATTAAAGTCACTGGCTATTATTACTACATCTGAGCGCCTAGCTTTTCGGAGGAGGTCGGAGAGCTTTCTGTAAAACTCATCTTTTACATCATCTGCGCTGCAGTCAGTGGGAGAATAAGCAGAGACGACGAAGAGGCAACGACGAGTGTCCCTATCTTTTCGGATCCTTACTGTTCCGTTTAGTCGGACAGCGCACAAACGACTGTCTACTGGGATCCACTCTAAGAGAGCTAGTTCTGCCCTAGGACTCAATGCTATGCCTACGCCGGCGAGGCCACGGAAAGCAGAATCAGGGCTTCCAGATACACGAAGTGTGAATCGAGTCGGTTCTTTATTTTGGCATGGTGAGGTCAGATGAATGACGCTACTCGGATCCTGTATGCGCGTTTCGGAGACGCTGCACATATCGATGGCGCGGGATTTTAAAGTCCTAGCTAAGGAAGCCTGTTGTCCTATTTGGCACAGTGTTCGGACGTTAAAAGCTTCTACGTGTAGTTTAGAGCGTGGTTTCAGGAGACCAGGAATAGCGTTCCGCGTACTCGAATCGTTTGTCCTACCGGTGCGAGGTGATAAAGAAACGTGAGGAGAGTTAGTCATGGAAATAAGAGAGGTATTAGGAGGTGTAGGACCAACTTGGTCTCGTGTGCTGTTACGGGTATGAGGGCTGATATCACTTCCCGGCTGCCCACACCACGGAAGGGTATTTCTTGAGGAACCTGAAAAGGAAATTGGATTAGTGTTGGTCTTAACTACCTGGGAGCGTGACCGCAGAGCCCAAGGGACAACTGCTTGAGGCCGGTCGCGCACGGCCCTTTTGTGGAAGGTTTTTAATGAGTTAGCTCCTTTCTTCAAAGGGCCTTACTGCCGGAGACGGAGATCCGTAAGGTAAGGTGAGGTGTGACATTTTTAGGGTCGACCTTTTCTAACCTCATCCCTCCTTGTGGAAAGGCAGCATCGCTGCAGATGCTGGTTGTTCGAGGGAAACACCTAGCTGCTGTCACACCTCTCTACAGTCAGCAGTACGACTTCGCCCTCAGACATTGAGTTGCTGCTTTTGGTCTTACCGTTCTCCAATCGACCTTCCTGGCATGGTAGAACCTACAGGAACATATGTTCCAGCCAATATAGCTCGGTTGGGTCATCACGATAGGCAAGCCCGACCACCGCGTCAAAGTAGCAGCTTCGGTTGGTAAACATGAAACCAATAACAAATTATATTTCTGCTCTAATCGGAATAGTAAAAATTAAAAAATATTGTTTTGTTTAGCGACCACCAATAACGGTCTAACTATTGACACAAATAGATTACACTATCATTAGGCCAAGTTGAAGATCAGAGAAAGATTAACCTCTTCCTTGTAGCAATATCTTGAAATTCGATTATTTATATTGTCAGAATGGGTTTTGTGG